TAAAAAGTATAGAATTAAGCAGTTTATATCTAAATCTTGATGTCTAAACCTAGGTCTTGTTATTCATTTTTGCTTTTACTGCTAATTCTTTCAGTCATTGTTCCTTCTGTCTTTTTAATCCTATAAAATACAGTCTTATCTTGTCATATCTGCTGCTTGTGATTATAGTTTGTATTCGCTGAAGCTGAATTAAGCTTTTACTTTAGAGTCTGTTAAAAAATCTATTTAATGTTAGGGATTTTGTGCATGCTGGTCAAAGGATAGGATGAAAATACAAATAACAAGATTCTGGGGAGGAGGAAAACCACAGAAAAGCTTTTTAGATGTGGGGAAGGATGCAGGTGGTTTGATATGAGAGAGAAGGGTACTGAGAGGGGAGAAATGATTAGCTTCAAAGAACCATAAAGACAGCAGTGACCAAAAATGCCTCTAAAAATATATACCTTCTTAAAACAGCTGTTGCGAATTACTGCTATTTCAATAAAGCAGTTCATGTTTTTTATTTCCATGCTGCATTTTCTTCTTTCTGTCTACTATGAAAGTGCTTCCTAAATTAATAACAGCTTAAGGACGATATTGAGCAAGACCCTTAAGTCCACACGGCTCCCTGGGCACCGCACAGTGGCAGCTCTCTGCTCTACAAAGGACTGGGACAAATGCAGAGGTAAATTTCTCCAGTGTGAGATGAATAAAGTTCAGTTATTAATATTTGAATAACATTTTACACTGACACCTTTACTAGAATTTGAGTGATAAAATGCATCTAACCTACTGTACTTTGGTTTTGTTTTGTTTTTTTACACTTTTTCCACCTCTGCATAGCACCAAATACTGTACAAGAGTGGCTGCTTATGCAAATCATCTGGAAGGGGCACGTAGAGGGACCAATTACCCTCCGATGAAGCAGATTGAAAATGTTGTATCGTTATCTCCCTTTTATCTCCTCTTTCTTTCATCTTTTCTCCTTTTTTCTGTTTTTCTTTCCCTGTTCTACTTACATTGCAGTGTCCATATAATCTGTAAAACTCCCTGCATAATTATAATACAGCTACTTATATGCAAGAAACAAGCGAAACACTATGGCGATAGCTGTACTGCTCCACTTGTGAAAGTAAAATCTGTTGGGCTCTTTTTGGCAGCAAGACACTAATTCTTATTGCCACATCGCCAGACAGGACAATGTAAAAAAAAAAAAAAAAAAAAAAAAAGAAAGCAATAGTATGTAAAGACAGTGGATTTAAGCATGGAGAGAGTATGCATCTCTTCTAGAAAGGCCAAGCTTCTTCTTGTCACACAACAACATTAATCCCTGTCACCCAGCAGGGTTCCTGCAAACACTTCAGTTTTCATCACTAAGAACAGATTTGATTAGGAAATATACTGCTATTTATGCTATTTGCAATTTATACACCATATTTAGATTTGTCAGTGCATTTTCAATTGTAAAAGAAAGAATTTGGTGTTTTGTTATATAGCATTAAAATCTTCAAAGGAGACTGTAGGGTTTTAATAGCTTTAGATAACTGAATTTACAATACACACTTATGTTTTGGCCACTTTAAACATCTTGGTTTTTCCTCCCATTCAAAAATAGAATTGTACATAAATGTGCATGTACATAATTTACAACTGGGCCAGCTGGTGTAAAAATATATATAAAAAGTCTTACATTATTTGATAAACAGTCCATTACGAAACTGTATGATATATACATTAAAGCAGCTACATATATAAAATTATTTAAATAATCTGTAGGTCCAAACCTCCACTGTAGGTGACACTTTTACAGATCAGCTCAGATTTAGTGTTGAGAGACGCAATTGTTTTCTGAAGCATAGTAACATGTGAAAGTCTATAAATGTGTAAAAGTTCTGTTGGTCATGTGTTCACCACAATTTTTAATGCTGATTTGCCAAAAAGATATTTGTATAAAGCCTCCAGATGATCTACAACAGTTTTAGAGACCAACTTTTCAAGCAGTAAAGAAAATATGAGCTTATCAACATTTTTTTCTGATGTCTCAATGGTCAGTGAGATTCTTATATATTACAAATCTGCCAAATTTTATTTTGATGTGTGAAAACTTTTGTATGTTTTTGAGCATTTGATATAACACCAACCTGTTTGAATTCACTGACATCCTTTAGTGTCTGAGCTTCTACGCCGTCTGGGAAGATTTAAATTTCTCTGTGGATTTGTGAAAAGAAATCAATAAGAGAAGACCAAATGGAAACCCTCTGAATTCGCACCATGAATTAGGTCTAATTAAGGAGTTTAGCTCAGGTGTGGTCTCTGTGATATCCTGGCAATCAAACCAACTCCAAAAAACCCTTTTTTTTATCCTCTTGGCAGTGAGGGCAGTATCCAGTATGGAAGAGGGAATCTCCATATAAGCTTATCACAAGAAGAAGGCATTACAGGTTCTAAAACCTTCTTGTTGAAGGTTGTGCTGTTTTGAGGTAATAAAACACAGTAATCAAGTACTAGCAGTTACTAAAATCCTCATTAACTTTTAAAACTTTACACTTGACCACAAGAATTTTGTACTAATGACAAAAATGTTTAGCCTCGGTATTAAGATTCTGACATCTTCAGTGATGCTCAGTTGCAGCTAATGTCCTGCAAATCTGATGATTCTAGAAGCACTGGCAACAGCCATAGCATCTTGTTTTTAGATATACCTTAAACTCTTGAGTAGAATTTGTTTACAATCCTCTCAAGACTGTTTTCCGTACTCGAGGCTCTTTTCTGCTTCACCATTTCCTTCCATTACTGTTTGGCTAACACATTATGTCAAGAGCTCACTTTGTCAGCAATGACCTTTTGTGATTTTCTTCTTTAATGAATCTGTGAGTTGCCTTTTTTTTTAAATGCAATCACTAAACTAAATATTTTTTCATTAAATTCCAATTTGATTAAATGCAGTGGTATTTGTGCACAGCCTTAACAACAGGTATTTTCCTTTCTCAAAAGATTGTATGAAAATAAGCAGCCCATTTTCATGTGGGTGAAAAGGGGATTAAGTAAAATAAAATATATGTGGGGTAAATAGAACAGTTGTTAAAAAAATGATTTTTTTCTCAAAAAAAATTAAACCATACTAAATGTTCTCTTAGCACTGATAACTAATGTTTAGTTTACATGCTGGTTTGCAAAATAACAGCCAACCCATTACAGGATGTGCAAAGCAAAAAATAATGCTATTCAGCATCATCTGTCTCATTAACACATTTTATTTTAGCAACAGAAGCTAGACAAAGGGCAAAAGACACCATTGTGAGAGAGAAATAAAACAGAATGATGCACATGTACACTTCAGTAAGATTAGCAATAGGATGAGATGTGGGCATTTAAATCTTAATGACAAATGGTGGCATGGCTGAAATAATCATTTGTAAGACCTCCAAATTTGACCTGACACTCTACAATCAGAGCTGGTGACAAACACCTCAAGATAAATACATATTGTTTCTTTTATAAACGAAAAGAAAAAGAAAAAATAACAAAAAAATAAAACAAAAACATTTAAAATTATTTTTTTCATATTTGGGCCAGCAATCATCTTCACTTTAAAAATAACCAAGAGAGTTAGATATTCTTCTTTACATATAGCGCAGCCTACGCTGTGAACATGTATTTACTTAGAAACATATAAAAATACTCAACTGGTTTGATAAGAAAATAATGTATAAAAGTAGAGTAGAAATATTTAATCAAGTCCATTAATTCCATCATCTGATGATCTTGATCATAATACAAGAGGAGGGATACGAGGAACAGACTGCAGCACTTCATTTGAAGAGGACAAGACAAAACGTCGTTCTGCGTCTTCAGTGATTAGAGATCATGTCCTGTTGCACACGGACAGTCCTACGATGTGCGCCCCCGGCAACACACTGATTTAAGTGCACAAACAAACACATTGCCATGGTGTTAGAGGTGCAGCAGCAAATGTAAGCGCTGTCAGAAATTATCTACGACAATGGACTAAAATGAGCAAAGCTTTCATGGTTTATAACAAGCTGATTTTTAGATTTATTTTCCAATAAAAAATTTAACACATACAGCTGACATTTTCTGTCTGAAACTATGCGTAATTCCAAGGCTACACCATTTGCTACCAGTGGTTACATTTGAAACCAGGTGTGTACAGACAGTGTACAAAAATACCTTTTCCTTGATGTCAAAATTTCTCTTGGTTTAGTTAGGTTTTAAATATTTTTTGTTCTTTTTAAATGGCAAAATATTTCCTAAATCTCCAAAGTTTGAATAAGTAAATATTACCATCTACATAATTTGACAAAGCCCAGATAATATCATGGTAATTCTTAACATTTTAAAAGAAATGGAGGAGCACATTTTCCTGGTGTCGCACCATATGAACATTTAAAGGAATCAGCCAAGATATAATAAAGAATAATTGCTGAACTTCAAAAAATGGTTGTTAGAAATAATTTTAAGATGCCTGAAGGTGCCAAGTTCATTGGTTCAAACAATTATATACAAGCATAAACACCATGGGAATGTTCAGTAATCATTCGGTTAAGGAAGGAAACCGGTTCTGTGAGCCAGGCATGATTTTCTTTAGGTGCAAAACGTACATATGATCCCTTAAAAAAATGCTTGCTGAATAGGCTGAAAGGCCACTCTCAAGGAAGAAGCCACCATTTGAAAAAAAACAAAACATAAAAAGCCAACACAGAAAAACAGAATGAAAAAAAGCTTAATTTAAAAAAAAAAATATGTGCAGTCTGATGAAAATTAACATCTTTACTTTTTCCGTCAATGATTGTAACATTTAGATTGATGATAAAACCAAATGTTTCCAGTGGCTAACACAAAGTTCTTAGTTCTGCATAAAATTTGTAAGCATAGCTGAAATATTTTGTGCATTCAAGGCAGCCAACAAGCCTGACTCAGTTACTCTAGTTCCGGTGAGAGGAATGGGCTAAATCTTGAGCACACCAGTGCGAAACGCTTGCTGATTGATATAAAGTTTGATATAAGTCATTGAGTTAAAAAATGAAAAAATTCTAAGGAATCCTAAATTGAAAGACTGAAAAAAAAAATCTGAATTATGGCATTTATCAGAATAACCTAATTTTTACTGAGCCACTATCAGAAACCTTTAGACTGAGTTAATGTCAGAGACTAAGACAAACTGGTTGTATTTTTTTATGTAAGCATGAAAACATCATGAGTCAACTTTATGTTAAAACATGATGCTCATGATCATTTTTAAAATTTCTGAATTTACTGAGTGAGAAAGAAAATTGAGGCAAAACCTGCTACTTCATGTATTTTGAGAATATGGAACATGATTACAATCATTTAATCTATTAGCCTTGGGGGGGAAATCAATACAGCAGACATCAATATTTGGCAATTTAGCTGAAGCAAAAAAGGGGAAAGTTATCAAATGCAGAATACCAGAAATATGCCAATATATCATTAAAGGATATCTAGGAATTACATTTATATACATACATATTCAGTTTTTATAAGTAAAACCAAACTCAACCTCACACACTGCACTGTGGTGATTTAATAGGTCATTAGAAATACACTTTTAAAATCACAACAAATGTCACATATGTACAGTAGCAGATTAGCACATGGGAGTAAAGGTGGATATGGCACAACAAACGCAAAGCTTCATAAGATAATCTCTGCTCTATTCAGACCCTGAAAACTAAAGAAAAGTCATTAACATTCTGGATATAGATTTCATTCAATCTCGGTAGCAAATACAAATGTCACTACAAGGCAAGAGGAGTCCTTCAGAGTACAAAACATTTAATTTGACAGGCTGATTTAAGAAGGCAATGTTTAGTGTTGGTACTCTCTGGCGTGGATTAGAGCGCAGCTGAAGGTAGAGTGGTTTTAAAAATTTGGCATCGTCAGTTGTCCCATAGCGATGTCCTGGAAACAGCAGTTCCTGGTCCAAGTTAACTCAGAAAAGGCTGTCTGAAGTCATGCACATGGAGAAGGCAGCGGTCAGTCATCCAACGTGGGATGAAATGTCAGGCAGAGTGGGGCTGGGGATGGGGGGGATAGATTAGCTGCATGAGTTAACAGTGATAAGGCAGACTCAGACGATCACACAATGGCAGCCGCTTTTGTCTTTCTCTTTTCTCGTGGGCTCCGGTGACGGGGGACATTCTTGTTCTTGGAATTTCCTGTTAAAACAGAAAACAAGGGGAAATTTGGACCAAAACTTTGAAAGATTTTAATACAAAAATGACACATTTCCTATTGTTAAAATTTAAAATCAATGTGAAAAAAAAATTGATTATTAAACTTAAGTGTTTAACTAAATAGAGCTATTTAACGTCATTAATCTTGAGCCAACCGTTTTAACAATCGGTTTAAGTAATTTCTAGGCTGTCTTACAGTTGCTACATTACTGCAGTTGCTGATTATAATACAAAATATAAAAATAAAAATGTTGACACTGCAAAGATAGTCTTACCATGTCTGTTATAGTCTTTCAAGACCAAATATTGAACTTTTAGAGTGCTCAAAAAATTAGGGGAACACTCAAATACCACCTCCTAGATCTCAATGAATGAAATATTCTCATTGAATACTTCGGTAGAGTAAAATATGCTGACACCAAGTTACGCAAAAACCATCAATGGAAATCAAATGTATTAACCAATGGCGGCCTGGATTTGGAGTCACACACAAAATTAAAATAGAAAAACACAACATAATAATCCAACTTTGATGTCATGTCCTTAAAATAGGTCAAAGTGAGGCTCAGTTTTGTGCGTGCCCTCCACAAACCTGTATGACCTCTGTGTATACAAAATGACAATAAATCTTGTCTAAGTCAGATGTGCTCAATCAGATGTCACAGGGAACAGGCTGGTCAGTCCATAGCTTCAGTGCCTTCATCTAGCAGGAACTGCTGACACACTCCAGCCCAGGGGCAAAAGCACCAGCATATTGTCTCGCAAGCTGTCTGAGGATCTCATCTCAGTACTTAATGCCAGTCATGCTACCTCTGGGGAGCGCAGGGACTGTGCAGCCCTCCAAAGAAATGCTACCCCACACCATTACTGACCCACTACCAAACATTCTGAAAGATGTTGCAGGCAGCAGACCATTCTCCACCGTGTCTCCAGACTCTGTAACGTCCGTCACATGTGCTCAGTGTGAACCTGCTTGTATCTGTGAAGAGCTCAGAGCGCCAGTGGCGAATTCGGCAATCCTGATGTTCTCTGGCAAATGCCAAGGGTTCTGAAAGGTATTGGGCTGCAAGCACAGCCCCCATCTGTGGAATTTGGGCCCTCATACTATCCTAACGGAGTCGGTTTCTAATCCAAATGTACAGACAGATGCACATTTGTGACCTGCTGGAGGTCATTCTGCAGGGCCCCGGTATTACTCCTCCTGTTCCTCCTTGCACAAAGGCAGAAGTAGCGGTCCTGCTGGTGGGTTGTTGCCCTCCTACGGCCTCCTCTGCATCTCCTGGTGTACTGGCCTGGGTAATGGTAGAGCCTCCAGCCTTTGGACTCTATGCTGACACACACAGCAAACGTTCTTGCCACAGCTCGCATTGATAGCCATCCTGGATGAGCTGCACTGGCTGAGCTTGTATGGGTTGTATAGTCTGTCTCATACTATGAGTGTAAAAGCACCACCAACATTCAAAAGTGACCAAAACATCAGCCATAAAGCATAGATACTGAGAATTTGTCTTTGGTTCCCACCTGCAGAATCACTCCCATTGAGTGTGTCTTGCCAATTGCAAATTATTTCCACCTGTTGTTCCATTTGCACAGGAGCATGGGAAATTTATTGTTAATCAGCTTTGCTTCCTAAGTGGACAGTTTGATTTCACAGAAGTGTGATTTGATTGAATTTACAATGCATGTCTATGCTCGTCACATAAAGATTTACTGTAAAAGTAAAGGCCTTACTCTATTATTTCTCTACTCTACCACACTATTCCACTTTCTATGACTCTGTAGTAGCCCTCCTCTTGAATAGAAACTAAAGGAAATAAAAGAGTTAATAAAATTGTTAATTAGTGATGACATCTAAATCTGTGCTATTAAGAGGTTTCCAAAGTGCCCTGCCAATGAAACGTAAAGAAAAATAAATATTTTAACAAAAACAAATGATTTAAGACTGCGTGCCAGGGTGAACTTTATGTTAATGTTTAAATAGTTTTATTATTGACTACATAAAAAACAATATGTATATATATATATATATATATATTTTTTTTTTTTATGTAGGCTGATAAAAAGAACAACGTGCACATGAGTTTGCGACATCACAGGGTGACTTACAAGAACATAGTACATCACATCTGGTTGGTTAGACATCCCAAGAGGAAGAAAAAGAAGGTTTCTGATCACTGTTACTACTGATCAAGCAGATAACGGCACCCAGGTCTGAGCTGTTAGCCTGGCCGGGAGCAGGCGAGCTGCACAGAATAAGCTGCACAGAATAAATAATAAATTGCCGTGGTAACTGATGTGCTACTGCTTTCGTTAAACCAAGTTGGGCTTAATTTTGCCTCAAGATCCAGGAAAATCACAAGTTAATCCTTTATATTGGTTTCATAAAATAGGGCCCCAGTATGCCTCCCCAACAAACACATGATATGTTCATAGAGGCTAGTGATTGTTGCATACATTTCCAAATAATCTCTTGCAGCAGTTTTCTCACAGTGAGAATGAGGGGAACGGAGCTCCCATTCTTCTCTCTGTGCATTCTTAGTCCCTGTCTTAAAGATGTTTGAACTTTTAGGGGTTTTTTTTTGTTTTTGTTTTTTTTTTACTGTAAAGGAAGCAGTGAGCAATTTTCTTTGAGAAATTTTCTTGTCTTATGAAGATAAAAAAAAAACTCCCCTAACTAAGTACATGTCTTTCGAATATTGAAGAGCAGAAAGGGCTGGTTATACTCCCCAATCAGTGTGTTGCAGTGAGCTTCTCGCACATATTTTTGATTTATGGCCAATGTTTCAGTGTGGTCTGTGCTATGTTATTCCATGCCACAACGCAAGAGGGTCAATCACAAACTAGCTGTGGGTCTAGATACAGTCGAGGTGGCGAAAAAGTGGGGGCAAGTTTGTGCGACAACGGAGGGACATGAGGGCGAAAAATAGCGGGGATCCAGGTCCCAGTGTTCTCATGCACCTCGCTCTTCTAGCTGGACCATCTTCACGAGTCGTTTTCCACAATGGTAGTCATACAAACAAAACAAGCCGCTAAGGTACCAAACAGGAAATAACCATAGTGTAGAGCGGATGTACATCTGACCATTTGCATTCACTCTAATACACGTGCAGATGACCTGGTTTCTTAGTATAAATCAGCCTTAAATCAAATAAAGTTTATATCATGTGTCAGGTTATACCATGTAGACTTTAATTAAAGGTTAATTTTCAAAAATATTTTATTACAAGATGGATTTTGGCCTTTTTTAATGTCTTTACAAGGGATGCAAAAAAGTTTTGAGACATCACTAACACTAGATGAAGTAGGTTCCAGTTTAAGATAACTTACCTGATTACCCTAACCAGCTCGTGGAAAGCTTGGTCTACGTTCATTCGGATTTTAGCCGAAGCTTCCATATATGTGACCTTTAATTGTCTGGCCAGCTGCTGGCCTTCTTCCTGGGTTACCTGGGGTAAAGGAAGAACAGAAGAAGGCTGAATCACAGAGCAGTGTTCATAAAACCTTAAAGCAAATAGTGCAGAATAGTTCAGAACTTCAAGAAAACACATACAGGTGTTAATAAAAAGCAGGATGACTTAGGTTTTCCTTTAATAAGATCTTTGTGACAAGGTTCACTTCATTTATGCACCTACATAGTGTGTTTAACCTTAATAGTTTATGATTTTTGGGAAACATAAATAAATCTACCTTTTAATTCCTGAACTTGGTTGTACTCAATAAATATTTAGATACATTTTTCTAACATACTAAGAGCATGAATTGAAACTTTTTTCTCCTCCTGTTGAGGAGATGAGCTCCTTTCCTGTTATTAGCAATTCTGAGGGACTGAAGTATAAATCCACACCAAAGCAAACGTATTTTAATTAGTTTGTAGAGTTTATGTATTTGTGAATCTTGCGACTAGTGGCCTTTATGCACAATAAGCAGGAAAGGGGCAGATGGAAGTAACAAATGCAGTAAAGTTTCAAAGGTCAGGAATCTGATCCCTGCAATCATTGTAAGTCATCAAGCAGGCTTTTCTTTTAAAAATCTACAAACAAGAGCTGAGGTTTACCACTGATGCACCAACCAGGCTTCTCTTAGTCAAATTCTAGTATGCCCTGATTTTTATTCATTTAATTTCATCAACTAAGACCTTAAACATGTAATAAAGTAAATAGTGCTGTATATATATATATAGAAATAATGACAAAATCAGTCATATTCCTGTACAAAAGTAGGCAAATAATCCTTATCACATGCAAAAACATAAAAAAAATGTAAAACAGTAAATTAAAGCACAGGTTATTAATTGCTGCAATTATTAACCTAAAAGGATGGGAGTGGGAAAATTGGCCCTATTTGCCCTTGTGGTTACAGACTGGTGTATTTCCGGTATGTAGGAAGATGACACTGTGAGGCAGTCATACCCTTTTTACCCAAAAGGGGGTGGTAAAGATTTACCATACTAAATGTTGTGTGGCTAAATACCAACAGTTTGAAGATCTGTTTCTTCACACTCCCTTCTTCATCAGTCCTCCCCTCCTGACACCACTTTGTCAATAGAATCCCTCAACATCCTGGCACACCGCTTAACCAAGCTTGCAGCTGCAAATCTTGTGCTTTAAAGCCTGCAAATCTAAATCCCTCAAGCATAGCTGATGTCGTTTTTGATGAGGGCGGCTTCAGATTGCTCCGATCTTTCAGACTTACTTGTCTCTGTAGCTCCAGATCTGCCTTGTTTCCTACAAGGATCATGGGGAATTCATCTCTGTCTTTGACTCGAAGAATTTGTCTTTGGAATTTGTAGATTTCTTCAAAACTGTAAATCACAGGGCAAGGTCTGTTACATACAAGTAAAGGCATACAATCATCTCCTAACAATGCAAAAAAAAAAATAAAAAAAAATGAAGAAACAGAAAAAGAAGCCCTCCGACCTACAGGCATATGCAAACACTCTGCAGAACCACCAAAAGATGTCTGGGGTTATCTCTGCAGGGTTAAACATGTCAACAGAAAAGTCTGCCTCACTTTTACAGCAAATATTTTTTATCCAAAGCTCTGCTTCTCTCTGCCTGACCCAACTGTTGCCCCACTATAATACAGATGGCATGTGATGGCAGGCTTTCAACTTTACAGCAAATAAAAATGTCACTCAGGGAGGGGAAAAAAAGACGAGCAAAGGGGCAGAACACCGCATAGCAGAGACGGCATTCCAGTCGTGTTGAACACATAGTAAATTTGGTCAGGCTTGACTAATATAAATGGAGGAAGGAAAGACTGTTTACAACATAAACATTGGGTGGGGGTTTAGGGTGGGAACAAGGGAATGCAGTTAATTGTGCTGCTGTGCAGGGACAGTGTGCAGGAACACAACACGTAGGATGGGCAGCCTGAGACTGATAGAAAAATTCCAAAGATCATTTAAGCTTTGATGAAATACTCTTTTTCCACCTTATTCTAATCTGGTCAAAACACAATTTCTGGATTAAAATCCTCAAACGGAGCATGTTGTGTGTGGAGGATTCACCTGAAAACAGCTTGACCATATATTACATGCAGCTGACTGCAGCCTGTTTCCTCTTTTCGCCTCATTAATGCCGCCCAAGCTTACGCAAACGCAGCGTAAACGCATACGGCGGCGGTACAGCTGTCATAAGTGCTGCAAAGCAGCAGGTGGAATAAGTTATGCTTTTACTTTAAACCCACCTGCTGTTGCCACGCAGGGCAAGGGGGGGGATGATGGTTTCAAAATGACTCGTTTGCGTCTCCAGCAGCCTGATTTCAAAACAGCTTCAAACGAGGACGCCTTAAACGTGTTTAGCTTCCATTGTATGAGGTTTTTTTTTTTAAAAGGGGACTCTTTGTGCCTGAAAGTGTTGTCAGTGTCTACATACATGTTGTCAGTACACACAGTGACAGCCGCTTTTATTGCCACCCCTGGTACCAGAAAGCTTAGAAATATATTAATTCACTTTTTTCAGCTGCATTCAACAGAAACATTTAGAAAAAACAAATTTTTACTCCAATCATGTACAGGATAAAAAATCCACATTAAGACAATTTTTTTTCATGTTGCACCTTAATTGGAACTCTTAAAACCCAAATGAGTAAATGTAAATAGGGCAGCGCGTGTATGGATGACCTATTAAAGAATCCGTGACTTCCTGTTTCTCCAGGCTATAAAAATGACAACACAAAGATCCATTTACACACTGGCCATCATGCTGGAGGAAAAACCCATATGTGTTTTGCCACCATATAAAAGTCAGCGTAATGTTAAAGGTAAAAAGAAAATTCTCTAAAGCTCGCTGTTAGAGAACTTCAGAAAACCCAAACATATTGGGTCACTAAGCCTTCATGACAGCCAATCAATACTCTTTTTGTTTTAATAACAGAGAAAGTAACTTTCTGTCCTATTAAAGGCACCTATGATCCTCTGGGAAAAATATAATCTAGGAAATATATAGATCAAGAGAATCTGGTGCACATGAAAACATGCTAATAGGGGTGCAGAAAAACTTTTCTTGATTTTAAAACAAAATAATTTGACAGCCTGTATAGAAACCTGTTTAACTTTTGGGAACAAAAAATGTTATGTATAAAAAGAGGAATATGCGGGAAAACCTTACAAACAGCACTATTAGGAACAGTGTTGAGTTTTATGTCAGCACACATGGAGCCATGAACTCCTTAGAACATCAAAAAATTAGAGCTAAAAAAGATTTTATGAGAGTAAAACAAAAAGATCTTGATAGGACTATTTTATCTTATCATATAAAATAAACGTAAAAAAGTTAGATAATTCACTTAAAAGCCTTTATTTCATCTCTAGAAGGGGTGAATGTTAGATAGGGATTCTCTTCACCCAAGTTTGCCTCCAAACTTGTGGATGTTGTCGCTTAAGCAGCAGGTAGGCTTTAAATAGAAATCTAAAGTAAGCCTGTAGGTGAATTAAACAAGAGTAGGGCAACGGCAGGAAGTACTGAGAACAAAAGCGAATGAGAAGAAGACCAACGCCGAGGTCCGGAAGCACGAGCAGCAAAAGTTAGGGTTGATGCAATATTTATGATTCTTTTGAAGGAGGAGAGAGTGAGCAGTTGTGAACAGAACACATAGCTTTACAAAGAGAGTGAGAGAGAAAAAAAGACGGCAACAAGAGTGTGCGTATGCGCGTTTGCTCATAATGAAAACTGTCACCTACCTTCCTCTGTCAGTGACTGAGAAGACGAGCAGGAAGCCCTCCCCTGTCCTCATGTATTGTTCTCTCATGGCTCCAAACTCTTCCTGTCCGGCCGTGTCGAGGACTGCACAGCGGCAACACGTGCACACACAGACAGAAAAATAGACCTTTATGAACCAGCAATAAATTATCAGAAGTATGATGAAACAGAAATACACAAACAATTGAACATGTGTCCTTATGATCATTCTAGCTGGGGTTTTTTTTGTTTTTTTTTTCCCCACTTACTGTCCAGTCTGGCTGGCCTTTCATCAATGACGCACTGCTTTGTGTAAGAGTCTTCGATTGTGGGGTCATAGTCGGTGACAAAGTACGACTGCGTGATGGAGAAAAGGGGACAAAAAAGAAGACATGAACATTCAAACCCAGCTTAGATTAAGTTATAACAAATAAGAAAAAAGTTATTTTTTCTCACACCTGATCTTCAAAAGGTTTTCAAGAATAAATATACTTGATAGGTTGTGCAAAGTTGCTCTACTAACCAGATGTGTGTGTTTAAAATGAGTGAAACAGTAGGTGCATGTTTTTTGAAGTGCCATGAGGTGAATATGCAGATTATACGCTGGTGAACAAAAAAAATGTATCAGAGGGAGGATATGCAAATGTAATTATTTACCAGCCATCCGATGTATGTAAAGAAAACTTTCATCTCTGTTAATTTAGCCAATTATTGTTTGGAGCTAATTAAAAGATTTCCTTCCAAAAAATCCTAATAGGCTTAATAAAAATAAATATTTAATACAGAACTCTGACACTACTGGAAAACAGGCCTGTCTTTTGAACAGTACCTGCACTCTTTCTTGTGCAGTTTGCCACCGCCCTGTCCCCCCCCCCACACAAAGACTTCCTGATCATATTTTGTCAGGATGCACATGTGATTTTAAGTCCAGTGACATGCTCTATTGGTTTTATTTATAGATTAAGAACCCTAACATTTGATTTCTAAGTACGTAAGTTTTTACACCGACATAAATTAATTATTCTAGCGGGGAGCAGATTTTCTCTAAGTTTTACTGATTCTGCTTCAGTCAGACTTTATTTTGTCATTTCAACTAATGCAGCGTAGAATTACTACTTCCACTGATGTCTGGATGGATGGCTTCAAAATGTGCAGAAGTGGAAATAAATAACCACTATGCGCCTGTGTTTCAGGTTAAAACAGCACAGACAGCCTTACTGACCTCTACCTTTCCTGCATCTCTGCAGACACCAGGCAAATACATTGTCTGCACAAAAAAATTTGTAGGTAAATATTCTGCCACACAACAACCACATGCTTGGCTTTTTCTTACCACTGGCTGTTTTCTAAGCTAATAACACATTTACTATATGGTCTGCAGAGTTGCAAGATTTGCAAAGCCTGTCAAATTCTTTTACTTGGGGCCAGCATCTGTAGTTGTAGTAACCTCAGCTGGAAGGGTGGGGCTCTGCAACAAGGACGAGGAGAAAGAGAAGAGGGAGGAGACATGCATTTTCTACATATTTCCCATGTTTTGTTGTTCTCGCGCCACTCAGGGACTTGTTAAGTGGTGACAGCTGAAGGGAGTGCATGGGGCTTGTTGGACCAACACCCAAAGAAGTAGGGAGATATCAGCATGACCCTAAAAACCAAACACATTTCACACAAGGTCCAAAGATGAGCCAAATTAAACTTTCACTGTCACTCTGCAGCTGTTTGTGTAAAGAAAGTGTGGGATGCTCCACAACAGAGAATAGGGTGCTTATTTGGCATCGTTTAGAAGTAGAAAAGACAAGAAAGAGCCTGCCCTGTCTTTGCAGAAGAACACATCTTCTAGACTCATGAAATGGTTAAGGCAGATAAAAAAAGGAAAGAAAAAAAAAAGCAACTTAAGCTGCAAAAAAACTTCATAAAACCATAGGAATTATTAATGTGATAACATACTTGAACCTTATAGGTTTCTTTATTTATTAAACACTAAATGTTAATTAAAAACAAACTTGAGAGTCAATACATAGAGCAGTTTTTAAATGATTTGCACCAAACTTGGCCCTATGTGAACATGTAATGTCTCCATTGTACCAATTGCCTGTGCCGGACTGTTTTATTATGTCAGCCACACTAGAGAGGTTTCAGCCCTTACGGACATCCCAATGAGTCACATACAAGTCTAGACTTTGACTAGGCCTGTCCAACACCTTCATTTACTTTCTTCGCTGTTGTGCTTCAGGTCATTGTCCATTGCTAGGTCAGTTTCACCTTGGAAGCTTCTCCACCTCTCCATGTTTTCTCCTATTGTTGATAATGGCTCTCATTATGGTTAACTTGAATCCCAAGGCCTTGGATATGATTGACTCATATCCTCTTGAATTTCTTTAGGTCAGAGCTTTATGGGTTACTTTTTGAGATCATCTATAAACCACATAAACCACCTCTGCATTGACGTCTTTGTAAAGTTTTTACTCAGTTTATCATTTGTTAGAATATATCATGACAACCTGCTTGTTGCACAGAGCAACAATAACAGAAAAAAAACCTATAAAGAGATCTATAAGGTAAATTTTTTATTTACTACAGTGCCATGTGTCCTTTTGCATGCTCTTCCTGATACAGACTCGAGTTCGCCGATATTACAGTCAAAGACAAATTATTTCACCATGGTGATGCATATGGATGAAAGTAAACTACCGGTAAATCAAAGAGGCAAAAGCATCATAATAAGTTGTGCTGTTGTAATATTACATACCTGAACATAAGAGTTATATTTTAATTGCTTGATTCCATTTTTCTTTTGTTTTCCTTTAGCTATAACTTAAACTAATGCTGCTTTTCCTTGGTGTACATTAACCTGACCAAAGTTGCTCGCATGTTTCTGCCCATTTTTAAATCCCCATGATGGAGCCCTGTGGTTGTAGTCTCACAGAGTGACTTTCTTTCCACTAAGGTTCAGTGCGCAGACAGATATGCTGCTCATTTCTGAGGCAATTTAGTACCGGCTTTTCCAAATTAAGTTCTTGCTGCAAAAGACAGACAAACCATAATAGTACCAACACTGTGCTCCACATATCATCCATATTTCTAATCTATACTGCCGTTTTAGAATTATTCAAACCAAATACATTTCATTTATGAAGATCAATTTTCAAGATTTGGGGGGAGTGGCGGCCTATGGTTAGAGCTTGGAATCCTGAGGTTGTGAGTTCGAGCCCCACTCCCACAGACTGACACTCTGGGTCTCTGAGCAGGACCCCTAACCCCACACTGCTCCCCGGGCGCCGCACAATGGCAGCCCACTGCTCCCCAAGGGGATGGGTTAAATGCAGAGGTAAATTTCTTCAATGCGAGATCAATAAAGTTTAATTATTATTACATTTGTGAACGACAGTTTACTTATTTCCTAAATAGCTTAGACCCATTGTTCTTTATGTTTAGATTGCATCTGTACTCTTGCACGCTTAAATTAAATGACAGCATTACCTCTTTAGCAGCAATTAAGGGCTACAGAGGGCTTTTAATAACACATTTATTTCAACTGACACAGTGAAAGAAAAACCTAAAACATGTAGGACGGTGGGAACTAAGGACCAGGGCAGAAAACCCCTGGCAGTGTTTCCCAAATTCTCTTCTCAGGACCCACTGTCCTGTATGTTTCAGATGCGTTTTTGCTCCAGCACAATGCATTACATAATTGTAGTACACCCTCAGCAGACATTAAAGACTGGAGTAGCCTGTTAATCACCCAATTATTTAAGTCATGTGTGCAGAAGCAGGGAAACATCTAATACTTGTAGGACACTGGGTCCTGAGGAGGAGAGTTGGGAAACACTGCTTTAGAGTATTCTAGTCTCCATCTTTGTATTATGCTGCTTCAGAAAGAGAGCCAAAGCTCTTGACTTTTTTAATGAAATCATGTAGGGGACCCAATGTGCACCATAACAGGGCATGTTATGGTGCACATCTCATAACACCTTTTCACTTTATAGTAAACTAGCGCTGGGTTAAAAAAAAAAATCGATTTAATCAAATTTGAATCGATTCCTTTACATTTTTGCAAAATCGATTTCTAGGGAATGAGATCGATTCATTTTATAGTGATGCCAGGACGTTCACATTCAAATAAGCAGGAAAGATGCACTCAAGATGACTTCAAGGCAGACATCTGCAAATATACCCAATTGGTTGGCTGAAGACATTAACAAATGGGGGCTGACCAGCAAACACCCTGTAGTTGTTACAGACAACGCTGCAAATATGGTTTGTGCATTGAAGATAATGCAGCTCATGAATGTCTGCTGTGTTACATCAGCTTGCTCGAGTGAGGTTTCACTTTTTCACTTTTCACAAACAAGTTTGCCCTTGTTAGACAGTTTTGTTCACATCTCATGTTTAAACTTTCCGATTTACAAGTTTGCACTTTGTGTTTAATGTGACATAAAAAAACAAAATACATGAGTATTTTGAAACACAGTTGAACCACTTTCATTATTGTAAAAACAGGTCGAATCGAAATTAATCGATTTAGAACTGTATGAATCAAAATCGAATCGATTCAGGACTTTGGCGAAAATACCCAGCCCTATAGTAAACGTAGTTACATTCTATAAAGATGTTCTGTTATGGTGTGAGGTGCAAATAATCTCTGTCACACTCCCTTGATGTCTGCAGCCTTCAAATACTCTCGCCCGAGTCACATCCAGCCATTGCTGTTCAGTAGTGCTGCTTCTTTGCATATCTGAATCTTCTCTGCTGCTTTGAGAGTTTTCCTTTAGAGCAGACAGAACAGAAACAAAAGATTTTTTTCAATCCTCCTCCCTACAACTCTGTCTGCTGTATAATCTGAATTTGCCCACTAGCGGTGGTCTCTTCCTTCAATTTGTCTCCCTTGGGGTGCTACCCACTCCACTGGCCTACTCAGTCCTCTCATCCCTCCATGTGTATGGGTAATTTAGCTGCAGCGTCCTGCGCTGATCAAAGCGATTGTCTCTTGTCTTCTGATAGATGACACTGTTCTGCATTGCCGGCAGCATTTCAGCCAGCAGTAACAGGGGTAGGAATCCAGCCTGGCTGGCTTTCAGCTGGGCAGCTATGGGCTTGGAAAGACAAACATGACTAAAGAAGACCAGCAATAACTACGTGAGAAATGCCAGTTTGAATCACACCATTTGCATATATATATTTATAACTACCCGGTAGCTGTGAATTTTGCGGTGTGACATTACAACAAAAAAAACGATGAGTGTTATAAGAAACTATTAAAGCTGTAATAATTCGTTTTTGTATCAATTGTTGAAATAGCTGTTGCTTTTCTGCTGCAAATGAAAGCAGTTAGAGATATTGACTTTTTCCTTTTTTTTTTG